CACACACACACACACACACACACACACACACACACACACACACACACACACATTGGTATTTGACTCATACCGTACCAGAACTAATATAGAGCTAGACTAGGTCGGGGTGAATAATGGAATCGGTGTCTTTTTTTAAACAACCACGTAAAGCTTCGAGTTGTTAAATAAAGTAGATGAACTAATGATGAATGAATACGGACGAATATTTTCATGTTATCAGAAGATTAATGGCAGGTTTATTAACCTCCATGTAATATTACTATCTTACAATTTAAGAGGGGAACCTGATTTATAGGGCTCAAAAAATCGAATTTTCAAAAGTTGTCTTAATCGATAGTAGTTCTATTTTAGAATATACCCTTAAAAGGAGGAGGGTCCCTAAGGCCAGTTTTTGGCACCCTCTGAAATTGATCAAAAAATATTAGGAACATAATATTTTTGTAAGAACTATTGAAATAAAGTAATTTTATTCTAAACAGACATTTTGGTGCCTGCTTATACTATAATTCTAATTAATCTCATTTTTATCACAAACGCTCTTATGTCAACTACATATCATATCCTTACATTTGTGTGTGTACGTATGCGTGTGTGTGTTTGTGTATGTGTGTGTGCGTGCGCGCATGTGTGTGTATACGCGCGCGCTCAATACTGCGAAAACACTATTTGTGTTGATATTTGGCAATATGTTTTTTTTTTAATCATACTGCTCTTTATGCTATATTATGTTATATATTAGTTCCGGTAAAGACATTCGAATTACTGCAAGTTTACCTTCAAATGAGAATGTGAACAGGTACTGGAGACCCTGAAGAAACTTGTAAAGAGCAGTATGATTTTAAAGAAACGTATATTGCTAAAATCTACATAAATAGTGTTTTCGAGCGTAAATTGTAGTTTCGAGCGCGCGCGCGCGCATACACAAATGTAAAGAGATATGTAGGTGACATAAGAGCGTTAATAGGCAAAAATAGGTTTAATTAGAATTATAGTATAAACAGGTATCAAAATATGTTCGTAGACTAAAATCACTTTATTTCAATAGATCTTACAAAAATATAACGTTTTTGATATTTTTGGTTTAATTTCAGAGGGTGCCAAAAACCGATCCTAAGGACCTTCCTCCTTTTAGACCGAAATTTAAAGTATTTTTCGAGTTACAGCTTGAAAATCATACGTCGAGCATTGAATGCAGGCATGAAAATTGTCGAAATTGCTTCTTTTATTGCTGCATGTGTCTTCAATGAAGGATATAGTAGCATATTGAAGATGATAAATATGTTAGATATTAGAATTGTGTTGCAAACTCAAAATTTTGCCCACTCATACGACGAAGAGGCGACGCTGGCCATTTGAGAGGCAGCGGCGCCGCAGCTTAAGCAGCTTAAAAGAAGCTCGTAGAACAAACAGCGCATATAATGGAATTAACGGTCCAGGACGTGTTCTATGAAGAAGCTGAAGGATTATTATATGGATCTGGTATCGCAGATTAGCCTGTGACTGCTATAAATGATACTTTTGTATTCCGCAAACTTTAAACGCGATTTTCTCAAAACAGTATTTTCTGAGTTTGTGTACACGATAGAGACAACTCTAATAAACCGATTGAACTGTTTCTAGGCTTGTTTTGTAGCTGATTAGTTCCTCTTCTAGGTT